ATACAGTCATAATACAGTCCATAATACAGTCCACAGTCATAATACAGTCATAATACAGTCCACAGTCATAATACAGTCCATAATACAGTCAGAATACAGTCCACAGTCATAATACAGTCATAATACAGTCCACAGTCATAATACAGTCCATAATACAGTCCACAGTCCATAATACAGTCCACAGTCATAATACAGTCCATAATACAGTCAGAATACAGTCCACAGTCATAATACAGTCCATAATACAGTCCACAGTCATAATACAGTCCATAATACAGTCCACAGTCCATAATACAGTCCACAGTCATAATACAGTCATAATACAGTCCACAGTCAGAATACAGTCCACAGTCATAATACAGTCCATAATACAGTCCACAGTCATAATACAGTTCATAATACAGTCAGAATACAGTCATAATACAGTCCACAGTCAGAATACAGTCAGAATACAGTCATAATACAGTCCACAGTCAGAATACAGTCAGAATACAGTCATATCAGAGAGTACAACCTGTATCTGGGGACAGGACCACCAGACACTCTTCTCACTCCTTCATTTACTTCCTGTTTGTCTGCCGTTATTTAAACAGAGTAACGTCTGCAGTGTGAGTCTGCATCACAATAAACAATAAAGTCCTCTGTTGTGTCTGTGCCAAACAATCAGGAGGACAACACGTCTGTAGGTCAGTGTGTCTTCAATAAGGGGGGGCTGTGTGTGAACGCTCACTGGTCTCACACACACATTAATCCACGGTGCAGCAATCAATCACACTTTCTGTGTGATCATAATCAGTTATTGATAATGACCCCCCCCCCATCAGACTGCAGCTCCAACAGTCCCACAACCTCACATCTTCCCTCCTATTGTTGTCAGCATTCATTCAGACTCATTCAGATGATGTCATGTTTTGGAAAGAGCTGAAAGCAGCTCAGCTCGCTGCCTAGCAACACGCTCACACACACACACACACACACACACACACTGAGCTGTGTGTGTGTGTGTGTGTGTGTGTGGCTTTATCAGTCCACTGAGCTGAGTAACATTCAGTATAAACTAACAGTGACACAGACGACAACAATCACATATTACTGCCTGTGTTACTGCAGTCTGTCCCAGTGCAACCAGTATGAGCCGGATTCTAACCCAGCACAGTGCACTGTGTGTGTGTGTGCACACTGTGTGTGCGTGCACTGTGTGTGTGTGTGTGTGTGTGTGTGTGTGTGTGTGTGTGTGTGTGTGTGTGTGTGTGTGTGTGTGCACTGTGTGTGTGAGTGTGTTTGTGTGCACTGTGTACAGATACTGATATCGGACTCCCCACACACACTCTCACAGAGCTAAACAACAGGGCCGTCTCACGCATTGCAACCACAGTAGAAGTGGACATTACACACACACTCAACCAATATCTCACCCCACTGCATTCTGGGCTGAGGTACCGAACACTGAGGGGCAATAAAGCTCGCTGTGGGAAAAGCCCGATCCCTGCAGCTGTTGCTGCTTTAAACAAAGGGGAGGGCTGAGTGTGTAACCTGTAACTTATTTATTTGATTGTTTTTGTTTTGGTCTGTAGATTAGTTAGCTGTGGATAGTGAGTTTCTTTGTTGTCTGCAGGTGCAGTGATGTGGACATGAATTTCCCAATGAATAAATGGAATTGATTGATTGATATGATGACGATTAGTGTGAACCATCGTTTGGAAAAGAAGATTAAACTCATGATGATGTGACATTTGTCGGTCTGTAATAATATATATAGTATATATTTATATATATATAAATGTTAATAATGTTCTGATTAGTTGTGCAGCCTTACTGCTGACAGTGAGAGCAGAGGCATGCTGGGAGATGGGCGGGGCAGCAAGAGAGGTTTGATCCACTGGACGAATATATGGGCTATCTGCCCTTCATCCACAGTCCAGCACCGAGTTCTGAGATCTGGTGCAGCACACACTCACAGGCCACTATATGTGCACTGTGCCCCCCCCTCCCATATACAGCTGTATTCATTAAACAGGAGCTGTGCAGAGGTTAGAGTCTGCTGTCTGTTGCAGAGCACTTCCATCAACACGCTCAGTCAGCCAGAGAGATCGCAGACACAACCCGTCTGAACCTGACATCTCCAGTCAGCCTGAAACTCTGAACCAGGTGGAACCAGGTGGAACCAGGTGGAACCAGGTTCAGAGTCTGAGCTCCAACGTCTGCGTCTGTGCTGCAAAACAACGAGACTCCTTTGGTCTGTGTGCGTTAGAGAGAGAGAGACAGTGGACGACAGAGGTCACGTCCTAAAGCACAAACAGCCCACATATATATTGTCACTTGGAGTGGTCTGAACCATCTGCGGCTCAACGTGACAAAGACAAAGGAGCTCAGAGTGGATCTGAGGAGGGCAAAAACACCAGTGACCCCTGTTTCCATCCAGGGGGTCCCTGTGGACACTCTAGAGGAGTATAAGTACCTGGGGGTGTACTTTAATAATAAGTTGGACTGGACCAGAAAC